AAATTCCAAGCAATGCAGAATCGCGGGCCTCTTGGATTTTAAAGGAGAAAGAAATGCCACTCGGTGGTCGGGGTGGCGGGCGTGAGGAATTCATGCATCTCAATCTCACGCGAGAATCTTTTCATTTTTTCAATTTATTAACTCGAAAAGAAATATCTCACAAATGAACTGAAGTGGATTTTTTTGACCCTGAAGCTGATTTTCTTACAATTCTTATTAATAATTTGTTTTCAATATTTTAATTAAAATTTTTTAATTAAAATTTAATGGATATAAACCAAATATCCGGAAAATAAATAAAATAAAAAACGTATGTGCGTGAATAATCATCATGAGTTTGAAAAATCATGAAATGTTTTTTATATATTACTATTATTAAATCTGTTTGCGGACAAAGATATTAAGAGGTGTTTGGAAGCACCCAAAAATACTTCTTAGAAGTATTTTTTCGCAAAATAAAATAAACTCCTTCACATATTTATTTTGTATACCGTAAAAATACTTTTAAAACCATAGTTTTGCTTTTATCTAAATATCTCCATAATGTTGTTCCTAAGAAATTTTCTTGGTAAAAGAAAGTTCCCAAAAAATGTAAAAGAAAAACTACTCGAAGCATTTGGAGTTTGGCCTAGACAATATTTATACTATCCCGGTCTTTAATATATGATCTGTTTGATTTTTATTTTGATTTTAATATAATATTTCAATCCATTTTGTCTCTTATAATTATTATTTTTTTAAAATAGTCATTATAATAATAGTTTTAACTAATATATTTGATTAGTAGAGATTTTTAGAAAAGAAATATCTATTTATTATCAATAACGAACACAATTAATTTCTTTAGTCTACTCAAATCAATCAACTAGCTTTTGTATTAAAAACAGGAAATAGTATTGAATAAGAATTTTGTTTTAAACACAAATTCATAAATAAACTCAAGGTCGTGTGTTCAATTATTATATTATGCTAGTTTAAATTATAAAAATAAATAAATGAATGCTTCACATTTTTAATCATAATAGACATGTTTTATCGTGTGTATTATTTGGATTAATCCACGTTATTGTCCCCTCGCCATAAACTTATCTACAAAGATTAGGAAACACCAACATCAGGAAATCTCCTAGAAATCTTCTTTGCGTCAATATGAAGATAAGGGGGACCCGTCAAAGACTATCTTATGTCGCTATCTAGTTTTTCAAATTAGTAGACTGGACAATCTCTTTTATATGGGGCTTTTTGGTGGAGATCAGCTTCTAATATTTCTGGAGACACGGTTGGTTCGATAGTAAGACTATAAAGACTGAGAAGAGATAGATATGTTCCTGAATTCTAATGTCTTTCAGAAAATGATCTATTTCAACAAGATTTTCTATTTTTTTGGAAAGAGTTCTGCCAACAGAGAAGGGAAGTCTTTGCGGGTAAAGAAAGAAGAAAGGCGTACGGGTTCAAGATATATTTGAGGTTTTACTCATGATAAGATGATATCTTCTTATTCACATTCACAAATAATATCTTACTTCTGTCAAAATTGTTCTGGTTCTAATGCCACCCGGGTGTGTTAGTTGTTGATTCGGACCAAGTTAACATAACCTGATATCAAAACTTTAGTTCAGATAAGGCCACTCATTCTCAATTCACTAACGGACCACATTAGGACTCTCAACTTTGAACACCAGATCTAGGATAACTGGAAAGATTGTCACTAAACACTCCTTCATGGATCATGGTCGGATTCTATTTCTGAGCATATTCAGAATATTTGACGACAGAAGAAAGATATTATAAGTGAAGTTTTCAGAAGAAGAGAGAAATTCAGAGAGAACTTATGAGAAAAACACACTAGTATTATTTATTTATTAATTTTGAAAATGAAGAACATAGAAATGTAATAATTTATTTTTTGTGTTCAGAATAAATATATAATTTAAAAACCACTGAATCAGTTTCCCTTAGCAATTTGTTATTTATAATTTATTTACCTACCTAGTTACTTTTTTATGATATATATGTGAAAGAACTATATCCACGTTAAAATTTTCTTTTTAATAAAGAGTTCAAGAGAGTTGGATTTGTTTATATTGTTTCCCTCCGGTATTTTTTCTTTTTTGGCCAACGTTTCCCTCCAGCATTATACTCCACCGGTTTTAATATAAGACTTATTTAATTAATTTGATTAGATTAAAAAAGTTAGATAAGTTAGTTAATTATAAGAAATGTGATACGTTTTTTCTAAAATAACATAATCATCTTTTTTAACACCCTTTCTGAACTCCCGTTGTTCCGACAGTTTTTTTTTTAAAAAAATTTAAAAAAGAAGCCGCGAATGACGTACTCCTCCCCGCTGGGAGATTCTACATATTTGCAGAAACAGTCGCGCGCTCCATTCAAGTGTCCATTCTAGCCTTCTCTCTCGCTCCCCCAATTAGCTTTCATATTCTCAATCTCAACGGCTTCGCCTTCTTTCTTGTCAGCCATCAGCAAATTCATTTCCTATTTCCTTTTCTTGCTGATTTGTTTTTTTTCCCCCCGGTATCTTCGAAGTAAATTTCTTTGCAGACTATATTCAAATCCCATATGCTCAAGTTTGACTTTTTCTGAGGTTTCAGGAGTTGGGCTACCGAAGGGAAATGGATTTTGGTGAGAAAATCGTGTTGGGTTTGGTTTGAGAATGAATCATTGTTATGGTATGGATGGTGGAGTTCTAGATTTAGATTCTCTGCCTCCAAATGTCATCGAATGCCGATGCCTTTTGCTGTCGGCATTCGATTCGTTTAGCTTCAGCATTGCATCCCGAGCTTTATCTGACAGTGTTTGTTCTTTCATTCCGATTCGGTTTGATAATCAGCGTCGGCTTTGACCCCAAGCAATATTGAGTTACAACGAAAATCTAACAAAACAGAAATCATTGGCTTTTTTGTTTAGTTATTGGATTTTCAGCCCGGAATGAATCCGAATGCAGATAATGGACACAGGGCTAGGAAGCCTCCCGAGTTCGAGGAAGATTTTGTAGAGAAAGATCCTACAGCCCTCTATATTCGGGTACTTTATATTCTACGAAACTTAGCTTTTGATGTTTTATTTACGGTTTTCCTGTCTTCTATTATCTTCTGAGTCTGATGGTGCCGGATATTGATTTATTATGGATTGGATGGTATTATCGGTTGGTGATGTTATGTGTGGGACTTTATTACCTTTTAGTTTAAAGATGACCTCAAAGTAAATATAATGGTAAAAACCACTGACCTCGCTGGAACCAGAACCTCATCTTATTTTACCCTTATGCAATGCATTGATTACAATGCAAGGAAGGTAAGTTCGGCTGTGATCAACTCTCCTTGTTCTGGTAAGTGTGGATACTGCAGTGAAACATCTCATATCCGTTGTTCTGGATTGGGTCAACTAAATGGAGCTTTAAATGCCCCTTGTGATTTTGGATTTATATCTACTTTGGGACTTCCCTTCTTGGTATTCGCTACACCAATAAAGATAATGTTTGGTGGGGAAGCATCAAGGACCTTTTGTTAAAGCATAACCAGGGGCAAAGACAACAGCTCTTCTTAGCAGATATCTTAACATCTATAATTCCTATTTTCCCATGTTTATTTAATTTTGTCCTCTCTTTTTTTCGACAGTACAATGAAATCTTGGGCAGGGGTGCTTTCAAGACTGTGTATGATTCTGATACTTATCTCTTATTTTATTCCGTTTCCACCCAATATCTATGCTCACCATATCAGTTCTTAGTCTTAATAGTTCTATTCAGATTTTTAGTTGTATTCCAACAAATTTATGTAAATATGCAATTATTTTTTGGCAGCAGATTACTCAAACTCATTATCTTCCTTTTGGGCAGTTATAGGGGATTCGACGAAGTTAATGGGATAGAAGTCGCTTGGAACCAAATTAGGATTGATGATCTCCTCCAGTCAGCAGAAGATCTATCAAAATTATATTCTGAAGTTCATCTTTTGAAGTCTTTGAAGCATGAAAATATCATTAAGTTCTATAATTCGTGGATTGATGACCAGAAGAAAACTGTTAACATGATCACTGAGCTCTTCACCTCTGGAAATTTGAGGCAGTATGTCTTCTTCGTTGCCTTTAATCTTTGTTTATATTTTGGTTGATTGTAATATGAGATTCAAATGATTGTTTTCCTTTGGCTAACAGATACCGGGAGAAGCATAGATATGTTGACATGAAGGCTATAAAGAATTGGGCTAGACAGATTCTTCGAGGCTTGGCATATCTACATGGTCACAAGCCACCTATTATTCACAGAGACTTGAAATGTGACAACATCTTTGTGAATGGAAACCAAGGAGAGGCGAAAATAGGGGAGCTTGGCCTGGCAATTATCTTGAAGCAGTCGACAGCTCACAGTGTCATTGGTGACATGCTACTTTCCTTGTTTAGTTTTCAGCATATCGACCCAGTTTGAAGTACTGAACTCTGCCTTTATTTGTTGATTTTTCTTTTATATTATAAGGCACTCCCGAGTTTATGGCTCCGGAGTTATATGAAGAGGAGTACAATGAACTTGTTGACATTTATTCTTTTGGGATGTGCATATTAGAGATGGTTGCTTTAGAGTATCCATATATTGAGTGCAAAAGTCCTGCTCAGATCTTCAAGAAGGTTACTTGTGTAAGTAGCAATCATTAGCATATTTAATACTATTTACGGTATGCTTATAGCTGTAATTATTGCATTGATATCTTGTGTATACTCTTTCAAGGGCATCAAGCCTGCTTCGCTTAGTAAAGTGAAGGACTCTCAAGTTAAGGAGTTTATTGAAAAATGCATTGTTTCAGCCTCTCAGAGATTGTCTGCAGAGGAGCTTCTCAAAGATCCATTTCTCCAAGTCGATGAGAGTCCAAGGGAACCAATCCCTGATCTTCTGGATTTATCTTGTCAAGCCCCAAAGCTGTGGATTTGTCTAAGTCCGATCCTCTCTCTACGGACATGGATGTTGAATACAAACAGATTTCCGGGAGTGTGAACACAGAAAGTAACTCTGGAAGTCCACCACATAGTCCCGTTATAGAATTTCAGAGGACACTTGAGAACAACGAATTTAGGTTAAAAGGGACGAAAAATGATGATACCTCAATGTCATTGACATTGCGTATAGCTGATTCAGATGGTGAGCATATGCTCTTTCTTTGCCTCCCTCTTTTTTGGCCATGCTTTTATGTACCTCGACAGTGTGTGGCGAAGCTATAATTTTCATTTAATTAGATCTTAACACATAGTTGTTCTATTGACTCCAGGTCGAGCAAAGAATATACTTTTTCTCTTTTACCTTGATTCAGATACTGCACTCTCTGTGCCTCAGAGATGGGTGAACAATTAGAGTTGGCCAATCATGATGTTGTCTTCATAGCTGAGCTTATTGATTACTTGATAATGAGACTTATGCCTGAGTGGAAGACCCTTCTGATTATTCCTCGTGTGGAGGAGCAAGTCTGAATGGTGAGTCTCCGATACCTGGGGATGGACGAACTGTAACAACATGCGCATGGGATTCTATTCCAGATAATGTTCCCTCTGGACGAGAGTACTGATCAAAAGGCTTTGTGTGACAATGTTGATAATGCCGATTTTCAGACTTATTTTTCTTCTGCTCTTGGTTTGACTAACTTGGAAGATCAACAGTCGCTAGGATCTGCTGCTTCCGAGACAGCTGTGGAAACACGTCTTTGCAAAGCTTACGAGGAGTACATATTTCGAGCAGGAGAGCAGTAACAATGTTGAAGTGGACATAGTGATCAGTAAATTCAGAGAGAACACAAGGTCAGCAACTCCATTGTTTAGTCCAGCGTCTAATATTTTGAGCTTCACAAGTAACTGTACTCTTTTATCCTTAGCAGAAAAAGATGCTGATGTTGAGCTTAAGCCAGAAGTTGATGCAATCGAGGTACAGTATCGGCAATGGTTCGAGAAGCTTTCTAGGATGAAATGGCAAGAATTAGAAGCCACCCGAAAGAGATGGTCTGATAAGAAAAGATTGGCCGCTCATTGATTATGTTAATCTTCTCGGAATGAAAGCCTGTTCCTCGCAAAACCCATTTTCAATGTTATGGAAATCTGAAATACTTGTTTTTCTTTGTAATTATAGTTTTTTGACTTTCGACTTCTCCTAGAATTATTTTCTGCAATTCCTTTGGTTATACTCCTCTGATCCTATTTATAAGACAGAGAGAGAATGTTTTTTTTTAATCATATTTATAAGTCACTTCATTAAATTTTTAGTGTGAATGTACTATTTTGTCCTTCTATTATAGTATAGATAGTTAGCTTTTTTGAAAGGTTGTATATATTAAATATAGGTAAAGTTAAAAAATTATTATATGTTAAATGGAGAGTTAATACATTTTAAAGTGTTTTTTGATTTGTATGAAATATGCTGAAAGTATTTTATAAATAAGTCAATAGGAGTATTAATAATGCTTTTTATCACATTTTCCCAGATTTCACTAGCAATTTGGCTTTTGTTTTCGTAGGTCAAATCAACCTATCCATATAAACTAAACAAAAAAAAAAAAAACATCCATGCACATTATTCATAACTCAGTGAGATCATGCAAACCCAAACGGGTTAGGTGAGAGATCTGGATTTTTTTTTTTTTTTGGATTCAAATTCTAAAGATGCATTGAATCATAGGCTACCTCCAATTAAGCCAGCGAATGCCTAAATATAACATAATTAGATATCTAATAATGATATTAAAACAAAAAAAAGGGTGATCGTTATTCTCCTAAAAAAGTTCACGCGTGGTTATGGTTATTAAGATTCTTGTGCATGCACGAACTTAATTATTTAATATATTGTTTGACAAATGTCAAAGAAAATGTTTTGATACTGCTACCTAATAAATCCACAAGGTTTAATCCTGGTGATGATACATTCATTGGCCAAAAATGAATCCCGGTGATACATTCATTTCTATTGAAATTGGACAATTGACGAAAGTTTGAAAGTTAATTAATGAGGGAACGTTTAATTTACAAACTTAAAAAAGTTTGTTGCTAAATTCATTGAACGACTTGATGTTCTTGGACTATTGATGGATTAGAATGATTCATGGATAAGTAGATTCAGTGAATATTTCAAAAGTGATTCAGGCCCATACACATATAAATAATTGAAAGATATATGCACACATGTTTCTTGCCTCTCATCCATAATAAAAAATTAGTCACGCATGTATATAAATGAAATGAGGTGCATTTAAGTAATTAATTATCCAATGAGAAAGAGCAATGTGCACCCACATGCCAACACACACTCGCATATATTTGCCTCAGCATAATTTCTATATTTGATGAACAAAGCAGTGAACGTCTTCTCCTATGTATGTACAATGAACTGAGTATATATAAATAGGCTCTCTTATGTTATTATGTGTAGATATATCTTCAGCAAAATCCCACAATAGGAACTTGAAAATTACTAAATCCTAAATCAGGATTATTTCTTACACTTTAATAAGTTTTCACTATACTTCACTTGTAAATAACAACACATTTTTTAAAAATTTCTGTTTAGAATTTAGTAATTTTCATATCCTTTTTGTAAAATTTTTCTTTTATCTTAGTTTCCGTGACTTTGCTAAGCAGAGAACTGGGCATAATTGATTAATTGTTACTCCTCCGGTATTAAATATAAATAAACACTCTACTTACAATAATTGATTAGTATGTATAAGGATTTTACATTTAGGAAATTAAAGGAGTATTTGCTAATTTTAAGTTTAATTTGACCCAACTTATATTATTCTCATTAATAAACCAATACTCCTCCGATCCTTAATGTAAGACCTATTTAACTAATTTGATTAGATTAAGGAAGTTAGGTAAATTAGTTAATTATAAGAAAAGTAACACATTTTTTCCCAAAACATCATAATCATCTTTCTTAATACCCCTCTCCCTCTTCTACTTGATTATAGTTGAAGGAGTATTCATAGGGGTAATTTAGAGAAAACTGATAAATATGATAAATGGATCTTATATTTAGGACCAAAACCAACTCAAAAATTGGATATATATTAAGGACAGGAGAAGTACAATATTTAAACCTTGTGGTGGTTGAGTAAACTGCAAGACATGCAATATTTAAAAAATCAAGTGAAGTGCTAAAAAGTATCCGTCATGGTGGTGTGAGAGAAGCCTAGTCATTAATAAACCACCCTGATCTACGCAACAGGTTGGTGGGGGTTGCATATTTGGCATCTTTAAACATCCTTCTATAGTGATGTGGTTAATTTTTTCCCCCTTTATTAGTGTGTTAATTACTATTGTTTTAACACTACTCCTTTAATCCGGTCCAAAAAAAAAAAAACACTACTCCTTTAATGGATCATAAAATGAGTTAAATTCATTAAATGCCCTATGCGATTATTAAACATCTCGAACAAGCCGGTTTGGTTAGAGACGGATTTTCATGGATCATAAATTCGGTCATTTATTGAGTTCATAGAATGGGGGGCTATTGTCTACTGGTCTCCTGTCTCTTATTATACGATCTCTTTAATTAAATTGTACAATTTAAAAAAAGAAAACAGTTAAAATAATAAATGCAATTTTTTTTCTAAATATACCTCTATATAAAGGGGAAGACATGACAGAAAAAAAGCTGGAAATTACAAATTCCAAATCAGGTTTGGTTACACAATTTTATTTGGTATTGACAATTCTGAATTTGTAAGTGACAATAAATTTTATTGACATTCCTTATTTACAGATTTTCAGCTTCTTATTGTGTCACTGTCTTATATATAAATGGGTAAATGTAATAAAGTAATAGTGAGATAAAACAAAGAAAGAGAATGTATTAAATACATTAAATTAAAGAGAAAATAGATAATAATGTATTAAATGCTCAGGACAAACTCCAAAGAGATTTATAAAAAGGGACAGACCCATTCAAAAAATTGAATCTTATAATAAGGAACGAAAGAAGAAATATATATAATATATACTTCTCTGGTCCTATTTATAGAGTAGAGAAAGAATGTACTTTTGGTCCTATTTATAGGGCACTGAGAAAATTCTTTTGTATGAATGTACAATTTTACCCTCATTTATTATTACGTTGACTTTGTTTATATGAGGTATAATGTATATTAAATAAGGATAAAGTTGGAAAGTCATTAAATTTTAAATGAGAGTTAATGAAGTTTAAGTTTTCTTGGTCTGTGTGAAACATACTGAAAGTGCTTTATAAATAGAATCAAAGAGTATGGGTGTGTACATATACATATACATAGATACTATTGTGTGTGTGTGTGTGTTTCCCCAGAGAGAGACAGACAGATAGGTAATTTTGATCTGTCGGTGATATCATACTTCTTCAGAACCTCGATATACTCCAGGATCGACACAGTAATAGACCTTCTTAATTAGTTAGTATACTTCGATACTTGCATCATTCTCTGACCAAATCACTTTTATCTTTAATTAATCCCGTCCGAATCAACCACTTTTATCTCAAATCAAACTCGCTTTCATTTCTCAATGATTGAGCATTCATCAATTCCACTTTAGCCTGATGACACTTGATCTCTCATACATCCACATAGCCATTTCCAGATTCTGGTGATTAGAAGAAGACCGACTCCTAGTGTTTTGGTCTGGAATGGTCACAAAATTTTTCTTTTCCCACAACTCACACACCCATTATACCTGCTATACGCCACAAGAACTCACAACTTAACATTTAAGAAAGACTTAATAAGAAAGGCCTTTGCATCTAGTCACAACTTTTTTACTTTATATTTTGACGCCTCATTTATAATTCTTATTTCAAGTGCAGAAGCAAAATTGATAGCAAATGGCGGATTTGATGGGATCAGCCGGGATATACTGCTGCTTTAAGTGCCGAAACCAGATCGCTTGCCATGTGTGATATCATTTCCAAAGAGTTTCGGGTTAATCCATTAATCCTTTATCCCCCTTTTTTCCTTGTTTGAATATGATTCTTTATGCATATGCACACACGCGCGCGCACACATTTAAGTTACTGCGACAAGGACATGACAAGATTTATAACAGGGAAGCCATGGAAGAGCATTTCTGTTTTCTCACGCAATGAACATAAAGGAAGGAGCACAGGAGGATAGGCAGCTCCTGAGTGGTCTGCACAGAGTGAGTGATGTGTATTGCAGTGATTGCGGAGAGGAATTGGGATGGACATACACAAAGGCCTTTGATGAAACCCAGAAGTACAAGGAAGGAAAGTTCGTACTAGAAAACTTCAAGATCATCGTCCAGTCGCACTTTCACCCAACAGATCAATTGTAAAGTATTCTGCACAAAGCTTCATTGTGCGAATATGATTTCAATTCAAGCATAAGTATATTTCAGATTCTTCCTCACTAGCTATTAGATCCGTCCTGATTTATGGTTTTGCCAGATGGCTACATATAACGAGAGAATCACTGTCAAAGAAAGATATAGCCACTAGTTGTTCATAGTTTTTTTCAATTAATATCACAATCTGGCATCTTTGCATCAGTTGAAGGATCCAAATTCAAAACTGCTTTTTACCATTTTGTATTAATTGTGACCTTTTTTTTTTTATTCGTTGTACAAACTACAGAGAGTTTAAAAATGCTACTATTACTTGTAGTTAATAATATAATAATTTGTTTTACCAACTAGCTAGTAACAAGTTGATTTATAACACATAGGATCATGAGTCCAAATCATGTGAGAGTTTTATTTGTCACCAATTCACCTAAACTTTTGTAGATTCCTGTTGATGTTTTTTTTAATATGGATAACCTGTTGAATATTTGTATCAATATTAAATAACATGATTTGATCCATCTTCGGTCTTGACAAACGAGTGGCCAAAAAAAACTATCCGCGCAATTGTTTTTATTCTCAAAAAATGGCGTCGCCAGCATGTTAACATTTTAAAAAGATGAAATTGAAGAAAGAAAGAAAGAAAGAATATGTGTTCGAATATTAAAGCTTTATTTTGAAAAATATAAAAAAGAACAACCACAACAACCTCTTCCAGAAATGAAACGGATCCGATGATGATTTGTTGACACACTCAACATGATCGTATACCATGTTCCATCAGAGAAAACCAGGATAGCGTATGAGTTTGTTGTTGTGGGTTGCCTCGAACCTTTAGAGTTATGAGCCTCTGTGTCTGGGTTTCCAATGACATCGGACTATAAAAGATACTGTATCAAGTTTAATGATTGTATGACAGATCAGTACAGGCTGGGACTTTCTGATGAAATCCAAGGAAAGTAGTGAACACTATCTTGCAAGTTACAACGTGTTCTGATTCTGCTTGCCATGTTCTATTTTACGTTGTTCGTTTCCATTAAAATAATGTGAATTATTAAGTTGTCAGCATTTTGGGTCTTAAGAAAACAATACCCCGTACGTCCCTTATTCATAGGACAATATGGGCAGTACCTTGTTCATTAACTTGATCCAAAAGAAATCCTGAAAATTAAGTACTGAAGTTGTGTGGCAAGAATGAGATGTCAAATTTTGAACAGAGTACTTGTATGAGTCAAAAAGTTAGCATGAAATAAGAATTGAAATGGGAGCGATGATAATTCTGTAATTGTGATTTCCTCCCAAAACTTGGGCTCCAATGGAGATCAGAGGGAGGGTGAAATATTCAATTACAGCCCTCCAAGAGATGGCAGATCTTTATGTGGGTTTAGTTATAATGATCATGATTAGAGTAGTGGTAATGATGATTAGAAGGACTTGCTGTGCACCATCATTTTCCTTCTGAATTTGATCTTTGTTTGTTGTTAACGGGACATTATTAATTAGAAGGAAGGGAGAGTGATAACATGACGTCAACTATTTATTAGAAGTTTCATTTTTAAAAAAAGAACATAAAATTTCAAAAGAATTTAAAATAACGTTACAAATGAAATAATATTTTGAAAATCATGGAGAGATGAGCAGGTTGTTCATGTATTGGGTATATGGAGGACACGTCAAGCTCAACCACTAAATGCTTAATAAATTGTGGAAGATAGCCTCATCCACTTGTTAATTACTGCAATTATATATTATTTGTGCGTCAAATTTATTTCGCTGCGTCGCCCTCTGCTTGTCGTTGTGGTTTATGGGGGAAATAAAATAGAACAGAAACAATGCGGCTTGCCGGCATTTCCAAATCACTCTAATAATGTACGACACGGATCTAATGGATTAATATAAGACTTAATTAAATAATTTAAATAGGCTAAGAATATTAGTTAAATTAGCTAATATGGTATGTTTTTTCTGAAATAGCATATTAATTTCTTTCCTTCCTCTTATACTTAATTATTGTTTAAAAGAATATCATAAGGATTAATTTAAAAAAAATGATAATATGTAAAATACTACTCCGGTGTTTATACTACAAAATATGTCTTATATTTAGAACTGGAAAAGTAAACCTTACATAAAATATCAACATCAACTTCTTAATTAAGTCTTACATTGTACTAATATTTGGTTTGCCTCGTGATCTATTTATTTTAAATTATACTATAAAATATGGCTCATATTTAGAATAAAAGGAATAGATAAAAGATCAAGTCTTCCATTCTACTTGTATTTTGGTTTGCCCTGTGATCTATTTATTTTAAATAATGGAGGCAGGAAAATAAGAAAGAAGATATGAAAAGATCCGAATCTTTCCTGTGAGTAGCAGGAGAAAGAGGGAGAAGGAAAGAAAAAAAGCGATAAAGATCGGCATGGTTTGGTTACATTGGGGGAGTGGCAACGTGGAAACTGCATGGAATTAAAAAACTCAATTTAGCTTTCTCAGTCACGTCAATAAATTGATAAATCTCATTCTCTTCATCGTTTTTATGTTTTTTCCCCCATTTTATTAAGCATAAAACAATGGAAAAATTGCAAATAAAAACCCTGATTTTGATATGATAACATTAAAATGATTGAAGGCAAAGAAATATAATTCTCCTCCGGTCCTAAATATAAAATCTATTTTGTAATATAAATTACACTACAAAATAGGTCTTATATTTAGGATCGGGGAGTAATATTTGTGGGGTGATGCATAGAATGATGGGGACATGGGAGACCCAGACAAAAAACTTGTATATATAAAAGAATTGAGAAGAGGAAGAGGAGGAGGAGGAGGAAGGTTCATGGAAACAAGAGAAGCAATCTGATTCAATAAGCTAATTAACGACAGGCAAAGAAGATGACATGTTCCTTGGCAGAATATTCCTTTTCCATCTTTCCCCACCCAAAGGCACCTTCCTAGAAACCTTCCTTCCCTCCTCCAAATATTATTTGCCCTCCCGTATTTATATATATCCAATCCCCCAATAATAATAATAATAATGAAAAAAATTACCTTGGCTTCTCACAAATCTCTGCTCCCATATACAACAACTTTATTGATGGCATATTATGTGAAAAAATCTCCACACTCATGCAGTTAGATGCAAAAGCCCTCTGGCATAAGCTGAAAGTGCCAATAAGTTGCATTATTACACTGTTTGTAAATATTATAATAGTTTGTTATATATTTTTTTGATTTTCCAGAAATTCTATATGGATTGAGTTGAATAATTGGGCATATTGGAGGGCAATAAATAATGGAAGGACAGGTAGGGCCCATGCAGAATGTGAATCTGCAATTGGACAATTGGACGAAGCTCATGGCACGAAAACGCTACCACTTTACATTTCTTCCAAAAGCCACAGAAACACGAACCTTTGACATTTCCGCTATAAACTCCCCTCTTCCTTCCTCACTAATTCCTCGTTCTTCCCCCACACAGCCTTTTGAAAGCAGCTCCAATGGAGAGAAAAGAAGCCGCAAAGAATCAACTTTCCTCCGCAGAATCTGAATTCGAGGACTTGCTTCCGGTTATGGCGGAGAAGCTGGACGTGGAGGCGTTTGTTTCAGAACTGTGTGCAGGCTTCAAGCTTCTATCGGATCCGGAAATGGGACTGATCACAGGGGAGAGTCTGAGGAGGAACGCTGCACTTCTGGGGATGGAAGGGATGAACAGAGAAGAAGCAGAGGAGATGATAAGGCAGGGAGATCTGGACGGAGATGGGAAGCTGGATGAGACTGAGTTTTGTATTCTGATGGTCAGGCTTAGCCCTGGCATGATGCAGCATGCTGAGGCCTGGCTTGAGAAAGCTCTTCACCAACAACTCTCCAAGTCTGAATCTTAATTACACACTCTTCTTCTATTTTTGTCAATCAATTGTAAGTCCTGTAATATCTTTCCAACTTTAAACTTTGATGATGGAGATGCAAACAGTCTTGTCTTGTAACAGAATTTTATTTTATTTCAATTCACTCCTTCCATCAATTAATACTCAGAACTGGGGTGTGAGCTGCCCAGTTGCACCTCGATTTTGGGGTGCAGCCTCTTACTCATCTCATAAATGAAGCCTCCTGACTTAAAATGATTTGAGAAAGATATTCGAACTCATTACTCCACTCCTCGTGCTCTAGGTCTAATTAATGCTACCTCCAGCTACAAACGAGATCTTATAATTAAGACAGGAGGTAACAAGTAAGAAGGCAACTCTCATCCCATCCTTAATTACTTATCTGTGTCAATTTAACAAAGCAATAGGGTGCCAATAACCTTGTTATCTAGTAACATGTAAGCTCTCTTGTAAATGGGACGCTGTAAGTTGGATCTCACTTATAATTTCATATATGGCAATCTCATGTTTCAAATTTTTTCATTTGTGGCTTGTGCTTAAAGCAATTTCTCTTTTTTCTACCCCCCAACAGGATCATGGCATTGTTTTTTCAGAGAAATGTTCTCTTCCCCCCCCCCCAAAAAAACTATCTAGTCTTCCTACAGTCCTTAATATAAGACCTATTTAATTAATTTGATTAAACTAAAAAAGTTAGATAAGTCAGTTAACTATAATAAATATGACATATTTTTTTTAAAATGCCTTAATCATCTTCATTATATCTTCCCTCCCTCTCATACTTAATTATGGTGAGGGAGTATCAATAAGGGTGATTTGGAAAAAAACTTATAGATATAAGAATTTGCTCTTATATTTAGGATCAAAATCAACTCTATAATTAGGTCATATATTAACAACCATACTAGTCCCTAATTTCTATTCACAAATTTGTCATATTTGATGTGGGTACCTTTTCTAAATGATTTTTCCTGTATAGAGGCTTTCAATTTTACCTGATGAATATCAAGCATAATTTGCCCGATCCATGAGTGATTTTTTTTTTTAAAAAAAAAATTTCTTTATGTCAGTGTCATTATCTTCGAGCTGGCCCAAAAAAATGCCATTATCTTCGATAAACTTAAGGATGTATGCATTATTAAAATTTTAAAATGAATAATTTTAAGTTAAAATATATTATAGGTTATAGTAAAAAAAAAAATCCATTTGAAGTGATGAAACTTCACCGAATATTTACTTCGAAGGATTCATCTATAATATAGTTTTGATGATTAAGAGATACTATATCATTTTATTATTAAAAATTTAATCATAGCTGAGCGAAATACACATATCTAGTTGGATTAGATAATTTTCACACGCAAAAAAAATCTTTTACTGTTATTCTTTTTAAAAGCCAAAAAAAAAAATCATTATTTTATCCTCAGGAGTAACAACCTCCCTTTTTTCATAGCCAACTTTTGGAAAAAGCTTACCTATAATCGGGTAAAACACGTTATATCTCTGAGCTTGCCAATTCTCTCTTCCATGTAATATCATTGGTCCTTTGGCCTCCATATTTCCAGCCCCCAAAAAAATAGTACTACCTTTGGTTTTATATTTGTTTGTAAACTACAAATGATGTCTTATAATTAGTATCGGAGGTAGTATGACTTTGCGGTCCCAAAGGATTATAATCCATAGCCCTTCTACTTTTTTTTTGGGGGGGGGGGATATAGCACTTTACTTTTTTGACTGTTCACTGTTCAGAGTTGTGCGATGCTCGTACTAGCAGCGGCTAAAACATCGTTGTTAGAGCGGATACCTATAAATATGTTTATAAATGAATTAATTTGTGCACAGACTGAATCGCCATGTAATTTAGCGGATCTAAATACTGTGTAGGTTCCAAAGTGGATCTAAATATCATTCATATATTCTTGTACCCCTTCAACTGAATTTGAGAAATCTCAACGAGTCCAAGTGCGTGTTTGGTTTCATGTAAAAATTTATCATGGTAGTTTTCAATGTGAAATTAAAAAAAAAAAAAAAAAAGTTCCAAAAAGTGAAACAAGAGAGCGCACAGGAAAGAGAACTATAGTCTTTCCTTTTGGACAAGAATCAAGACAATACAATAATGTACAAACTATCTGGGACATTCAATATAAGCCCCAAGTAAGTCCCTACTCCAACAGTTCATGGTGCTGCTACTCCCAAAGGACAACGGCTCAAACTGGATGTTGGTCACTTATTGTACAATGTCCAGTGTCTATATGATTTTTACATAAGAGGTAACAAAATGAAAAAGGCTCAACATTGATCAAAAGTTCAGCCAGATTCAGAAACACCAAGTTGGGTTCTCCTAGATGCTGAAGCCATGTTATGCTGTTGCAGAGATGACATAATGGATAGACCAAGCAAATTATCAAGAGATAAGGACATCGCCTCTAAAATAATTATATCATGCATGTAGACTTACTGTCACGTCCTTCCTTTGGACTAGGTTGGCCAAGGATAGACCAAATCAATCATAGAAAGACACAAGCATATCAAAGGTGATAGAAAGTATGCCATATCCATGTGACTCTGAAATGATTCTGTTCAATCCTGCACATCTTTTGCTAACAAGTATCCTAAGAATACCTGATTGTCGATGTCATTCATAATCACGGCCTTTTAGCTCCTCAGTGCATGAATGTGATCATCGGTTTTCTTTAGAAATAAGAAGACTGATAATGAAGCACGTTTAAATGTGCCAAAACTCTAGCTGCCAGAGATCTCACATGATCAGTTCCTCTTTGAGTTAAATCAACTAGAGGCATATGAGCTGAGGCTCCATACAACTGCTTGAACTCCACTTGCCGAAAAATCCTTTCCACAGCATGTAGAGACTTCTCTTGTAGTCCAGGAGAAGTGGAATTAAGACATTTGATTATTACTGGTATGGCATTTGCTTCTTCAAGCACTTTACTACCACTTTGCAGTCTTTCTCCTTCGACTAATGTCAATAGTGCATCTAAAGAAGCCTCAGAAGCTCCTGGATCAGATTCCCCGAGTGTCCTCACTAATGGCCTCACTGCATCCGCCTCAACAAGGCAAAATGATGACTTGACAGCGCATATTCCTCCATGAACCAAGCAGCTAATTTGTGTTGGAGCTGAGAAGCACCAAAGGCCCTTGGGCTTGGATGCTGGTCTGCTCAGACCAAGTGAACTCTTTGAAAATTGAGCCAGAGATGATGCCGCTTGCTGTTTTGTTGATGCGGTTCCACATTCAAGCAAATGCACTAGAACAGATATAACCCCGGTTTCTGCAGCACTCTTTTGCCACTCTAGGTTTGTTGAAACAGTGAATTGACTCAAGGCCCCAACAGCATTCTCTACCAACTTGCTCTTTTGGCAATCTGTGTCCTTCCAATCTTGAAGATGATTACATATGATACGAAGTGCTCCAGCGTCCAGAAGCCACTGCGTGATCTGGTGAACTTTTGGAAGATAACGTAGTATGCCCAGAGCAAAAGAAATTTCCTCTTCATCTGAAGAAGATCTCAGGATCTGGAGCATAGCTTCAGCACATTTCTGATTTACGTTTTCCGGGATGCTGGCTTCATCGCACACCAAGTAAGCAAACAGCTTTACAGCACTTGCCCGTAGATTTAGATTCTCCTCCTGACAGAGCTGAACCAAAACTTCAAAAACTGACCACTGCATGCATGAGTGAAATAATTCAAAATACTGAGATACAAATGAAATTGATAGATGGAAATTGCACATTTATTAATATAGTTCTCTGCATGATATAAGAGTTCAGGAAAATAAAAGCAGCCAGTATGTTTTCTGTCACTGCTGCCCAAAGTGATGGAATTTCTGCATAATAAACTTGACGGGGCACTTGAAACCACAAAATATTTGCTGGTTTGAGGATACAATTTAACTAGGTTTGTAGTTGTCTTTATTTACATATACTGTCATACATACAAGGCAGAAGTTACAACAGACTGAAGCACTTGAATGAAGAATATAATATAAATCAAAGTATGCTGTACGAAATGCAAGCTGTTCTTCACTTTTCTTTGTCCTTTACATGATATGCACTATGTAGCATGATGGACCTTTGTTCCTGGTTGCATCCTATAAAATGTAGCCTGCCTTACCTACTTTGGAGCTAGTAATTCATCGGGCTATGGGCAACTTCATTAGTTTCAGTAAGATTCATACCTCTCTTAACTTGCCCCTGATAAATGAGGCTGAGGGGGACTGGCACAACGCATAGAAGGTCTGTAAAATGTTTTGCTGCACATCGGGCCTCGTGAAACTAATTAAAGAGAAGAGTTTTAAAGCATCTTCGTCAGATTCTAACAATAAAGTTGGTGCCTGGCCATCTTTAGAGATTGTTGAAACCGCAAGTTGCATGATTATGGCTGATATGTGTTCCTTTAAACTTAAGGATAGCAGCCCAGCCTGGAATAGAAGGTCAAGCATAGGGCGTACCACTCCTTGTCGAATCATCTCCAGACCATTTTCCTTCAAACTGGATAGGTTACGTAAAGCCCTAATGGCCACTGTTTTCACTTGAATATCAGAATGTGAAACTAAATGGAGAAGAGGATCCAGGACACCACCTTCAAACACAGATGCTTTATTGAGGTTGGTTAACTCCATTTCCGCAAGGGCTGTTGCCATAATCATTTTCACATCATCTGGTCCTGCATACAGGAAGAGATGAGTTAAGGCAAAGGCTCTATTTTCAAACCAGGACTACATCCCCCCTGGCCATTTTGGTTAATAATTTTGAAGACTTTGATGTACTAGGAGACAGATTAAAGATAATTTGAAGTAGCAGTACCACCGAATTTAGCCGGTTTATCTTCAAAGCATATCAAAGATTCAACATGTATAATTAAGGTAAGAAACACTGCTTATGCTGCTTATAGGATGATAAAATTCATTAAAAAAAAAACAACAATTCAGTAGTTTTCCACATGGAAGAAAGTCAAGCATGATAAAACATATGAAGTTTTGGTGCTTCATTGATCAAAGCTTATTCAGCGGCAATGTCATAGTGAAATGACCGGGCATGCTAAAATTAATAAATCAAATCATTAAAGAAGAAACCATAGTCACCATTGCTAAGAAAAGACAAAGATGAAATGCTGAAAATGAAGTGCATGG